GGGGATGGTTGAGTAGTTTCTTGAGTACATTAATAAACAAGGAGGATGTTAATCAGCATTTATTAGGAATTAACATTGTGAAATCAGGCTGGGATAACTTCCACTCAAGAGTCCTAAGAGGGATGTCTGAGGAGAAGTGGGTCCCTTAAATTGATTTTTAATACATCTTGGAATATTGGGGAAAAATTGAAAGCATGAAAGAATGCTAATGTTATATCAATATTTTTTAAAAGGGCAAGGAGGATGATCTGGGTAACTATAAAATAGTCACTATAAAATAGTCCCAAATTGCAATATGGGATTCAATTAATAAAGAATAAAAAAGATAGGAACATAGTTTGACAGTCAGCATAGCATAAGCATATGGAAAATAGGTCAAACAAACCTAATTTAATTTTTTCAGGCAATTACACATTTGATTGATACAGGTAACTATTTAAATGTAATAGATTATGGTAAGGCATTTGATTTAACACTGTGTGACAGTCTGATTGAAAAATTAGCACTATATACAATATCAAGAAAGCACATGTAAAATGGATTAAAACTGGTGACATTAAAACTGGCTGACAAAGTAATTGTCAATGAGGAACCATCATCAAAGGGGGATGTTATGAGTGTGTTCTTCAGGGATCAGAACTAGGTCCAACACTGTTCAACTATTTCATCATGGATCTGAAAGCAAATAGACACCCACTTTTGATAAATTAATAGGTGACAAAGACTGGCATAAGGAACAATGAGGAGGGCAGGCAGTTATACAGAATGACCTAGATTGCTTGGTAAAAAGGGTCAGTTCAAACAAATTGCATTTTAATACAGCTATATTCAACATTACACTTCTAGAAACAAGCAATTTGGCTGCCTTACCTAAAAACTAGGGAAAGTAGTGACTCTGAAAGTCAGAGTTTAGAGGCCATAGTAGACAAGCAATTCAACCTGAGCTTTCAGTGTGATGCTGTGGAAAAATAAAGCTAATTGGCTCCTTCAAGTTCTGGATAGCAGAAGGGAGGTGATTTTACCTCTATATCCAGCATTGGTGAAGCCAGTACTAGAAACATGTGTATAATATGATGTCTGCATTTTAAAAGAATGCTGATAAATTGGAGCAGATGCAGAAGAGAGCTACAAAGATGATTCAAGGGACAGAGAAAATTCTTTAGAGAGAGAGAGAGAGAGAGATAAATCTTGGTTTGTTTAGCTTATTACAAAAAGATGGCAGGGTTACTGGATTACAGGGCATAAATATATTCATGGGGAGAAAATCCTGGGACTCTTTGACCTAGTGGAGAAGAGCACAAGAAGCAAAGGCTCAAAGCACAAATCAGACAAATTCCAATTAGAAATAAGATACTTTAAAAAACAGTAGATGTGGTTAACCCTTCCAACAAGCTACCAATCAAGACTTCCTTTCAGGAAAATATGCTGTAGTAAAACTCAAGTTACTAGGCTCTGTACTGAGGCAACTGGATACAGTAGGTCAGACTAGATTATGTGCTTTTGAAAATATTTCCATTAAAGAGGGACTAATGAGAAATTGGTGGGCAGGCTTGGGAGGTGGTGTTTGGGTGGAACTGATAATGTGGGAAGTATGGGGGGCATTTAAAGGGATTAGATGGGAAATTTATACTGGTATTATAAAATGGAACTGATGGAAATTAGTCTTTGAGGAGGTTGGGAATGGGCTTGATTCCACATGCTGAATTAGTAGGTCTATTTAACTCCTTTGTAAAGAACAGATAGATATTCACACCAAGACTACCTCACTGCATCATTATTACACAGTATCGCCTAGAAGCAAGTCACAAATTATGCTAATTCTCTAGCTTCTGATCTCTAGGTGTATAGCTACATATTCTGCTTAGGTCACAGATGAAGAGGATTTTACCTTGATGGTCACACTTGTAGTAAAAACTAAGTGTGCTTCTTCCCCTCCATTGCTTAAGCTAGAAACAGCACGTATCATTTAGCTGATAGCACATGTCTTAGAAGCTGCTAAACTTTCTGCCAGGGAACTGAGTAAACTTGCAGTGACCAGATCACGTTGCGACACGCTGACCAGAAGGAATGTGAAATCTATAAAAGTTTCAGCTCAGGCGATGCTCAAGGTCGACCCTGCTTTGAGCACTGAGCTCCTTGGCCGTCCTTGTTTGCAAACAATAAAATAGAGTTGGACCCAGCCTGAAAGGGTGACTCTCTTCTTGAGGCAAATTGAACTAGCCTCCAGGGGACGAAACTAGCAATTTATGCAACACACTGTAGGCCTACATGCCCTACCCATTAACCCACCATACATTTCACTTCTCTTGGCAAGAAAGGACCAGGATTCTGGTAGATGAAAGCTGTTATTTTAAAGGGGAAAGTAGTCCCCCTCCCAATTTAGTGTTGAAAGTCATTCCTGTTAAATTCTCCAGTTATAAAAGCCACATTCCCTTTGCCATTGAATTACAGTTCACCTGCCCTTTCAGAGCTGGTAGAAATCAAGGTTGATGTGCACTGGTAGATCGATTTAGGTAAGAACCCATAACACCTGTAAACCAATGTATTATGTACTTATTTGTTCTGTTTCTAGAAATGGTACAAAAGATGCTCGCCCATATATTCTAGATGCCACTGACAAAATGTAAAATATATCACAAGTGCAGGAATTTAATATAGCCCCCCTTAAATCCCAGTGCAAATCCCCTTTTCCTGCTAATACCTTTCACTCCCATTTTCAAATGCTGTGAAAAAGAGATGTCCTTTGCAAACTGCCCTGAGTGGCAGCAGATGTGGGGTATTTAAGACCAAAGGGACAAGCGAATTATGAAGCCGCAAGGCTCTGTCAGAGAATATCCTGCTATCACTTGTCTCTTGTTTATAACAGGGTGACTGCTCACTCTCTCTGCTGATCTCAGCATTGGCAATATGCCACAGGGAGAGAGGCATTCTTTTAAGCTAGGGATGGGGAACTCCTTTTGGGTTGGTGGGTTGGGGGCAGCCGCTAACCTACAGAAAAATCAGTTGGATACTGCACACAAGTGAGATGCACTCTGGCCTCTAACTGAGAAGGAGAAAGAAACTTCCCATATTCTCCTCACACGCTAGAGCCTAGGGCAGGGCTGGCCAACCTAAACGTGAGAAGGAGCCAGAATTTACCAATGCACATTGCCAGAGAGCAACAGTTCTATGTCACCAGCCCTGATCATCTCCCCACCACCACTCTCAGAACAGCCCTCCCACTCCCCGTCAGCACCTCCTTATCCTTTTCCTCCTGCCCACAGGATCAGCTCTCTCAGGGTATGTCTAGACTGCATCTCTGTCAGCAGAGGGATGCAGATTAGGCAGGTCGACATTGCAAATGAGGCAAGGATTTAAATACGCTGTGCCTAATTTGAATAAAAATGTTTTTTTGACAGATCCCTTATGGAGGTTTACAGGATCTGTCGAAAAAAGCTTTCTTTCTCAACAGATACCCCTCTAGACTGGCGCTTTTTGCAGATAAAGTGCTGAGTCAGCAAAACACGGAGGCCATTTTTATGCAAATTAGGCACAGGATATTTAAATCCCTGCCTCATTTGCAATGTCTACCTGCCTAATCTGCATCCCCCTGCCAACAGAGAGATGCAGTCTAGACATACCCTTAGTGGGAGACACTAGAGGGGGGAAGCCTAGGTGTGACAGGCTCAGTGGAGAGGGTGGGAAGTGGCAGGATCCTAGGGAGAAAGAGTGGAAGGGGATAGCGCTTAAGGCAGAACGAGGGGTTGAACAGTGAGCACCCTCCGGCCCAGTTGAAAGTTGGCACCTGTAGCTCCAAGGGGCTTTCTGTGACTGCACCTAATCACAGGGAGGGAATGGGGATCAGGAACCAACATCTTGGTTTTCTGCAGGAAGAAGGATAACACAGTGGATAGATGGAGAGCTCATCAGCTTTAATGGGCAGTGTTTGCAGGAGTCCACTTGCTAAGAGACTTGCTCACACAAAACTAACCCTTTTCTTCCCCGCTCTCTCCACATGCAGTTATTACCCTACAGAAACTCCTCAACACAGAGCAGAAGAAGAGAATTGCTGAAGTCAGCAGCATTTGCACATACTCAGTATCTCACTGGATTAGGCCCATAGATTATTTAAAAATGGTGAAAACTGGAACCTTCAAATGTTAAAAAGCATTCTCCAGCTGAATTGGTTTCCATCAAATTTACAGACTGAGGCTTAAGCATCTGAGATGCTGCACTTTAGGCCCCAGAATAGAGAACCAAACAGAGTAAGACTCCAATGCCACTCAGTTGATTAGCAGAGTGCCCACAGCTAGGATTTGTGTTTCTGTTGGTGGTGCCCATTTGCACATGCCTCTATACATATAAAAATGTATTCTGTGCATGGTCGGAAACGATTAGCGGAATCATTGCTAGTAGCCTGCAAAGAAACAAGTTGTGATTTGTTCTTGTTTTTACTTCTTTGCAGCATGTAGCTGAAAGTTGGTGGGTGCCTGAAGCTGGGTGGGTGAGATTTAAGGCTTTTTTAAACATTAGAAATAGTTTGCTCGGACTGTCCATCTTTATTAGCAATGTTGATCACATTCTACGCAAAAAAAGGTTCATCCCATTCCACATCTCATCCTCAATCTCCTCTCACTATCATGTGTCCTGAACTTTTTATTTTTCCTCACAAGTATCCTGTTCTCCCTTCATTCTCTGTCACTATTAATATCTTCCCCTTTCTTCTCTTGCCCACTCCAGCTCATAACTTAAGAATCCTCTTAGACTTTTTCCTTTCCTTTGTCCCTTATATCTAGGCTTTATCCAAATCTTACCTCTGCACCTTAAACTAAGAAGGATTCAACCTTTTCCTGTATCTCCATACAGCTAAAAATCTCTTCAAGGCCTTCTTGTCTCCCTTCCCTATCCAGATAGTTGTGTGTGAAATATTATATTTTACACAATCTGTCACCACTGATATTCAGCTTTGCTTTATGACATCATATACCCACATCACAAATAAAATAATGCTAAAGGTTCTACACCATCCAACTAAAGAGAAAGAGCCTATCTCAGATGACCACCATGGAATGTTTGAGAACAGGCCGTTAGTGTATGTGATGTACAGTCAACTTCAATTTAGAAATCCCTCCTTGCCTCTGGCACCATGGATGATGCTGCAGTCCTTAAAAAGAGAGGCTACGTCCTGGGAATCAATCTGGGAGAAGGGTCATATGCTAAAGTGAAATCTGCCTACTCCAATCGACTAAAATTTAATGTTGCTGTGAAGATAATCAACAAGAAAAAAGCACCTCATGACTTCCAGGAAAGATTTCTCCCCAGGGAAATAGAGATTTTGGCCAAAGTGAATCACCGCTCAATTGTCAAGACCTATGAGATTTTTGAGACCTCTGATGGCAAAGTCTACATTGTGATGGAGCTTGGCATACAAGGAGACTTACTAGAGTTCATCAAGAGCAGAGGAGCCATGTCTGAGGAGATAGCTCACAAGATGTTTCACCAGCTGTCTTCTGCCATCAAGTACTGCCACGACTTGGATTTAGTCCACAGGGATTTGAAATGTGAGAATCTCCTTCTAGACAAAGATTTTAATATCAAACTGTCAGACTTTGGCTTTTCCAGACGACTGACTCGAGATGAAAATGACAGGCTTATTCTCAGTAAAACCTTCTGTGGTTCTGCTGCATATGCAGCCCCTGAAGTGTTACAGGGTATTCCTTATGAACCTAAGATTTATGACATTTGGAGTCTGGGTGTCATTCTGTTCATAATGGTCTGTGGCTCGATGCCATATGATGACTCAAACATTAGCAAAATGCTAAAGTTTCAGAAAGAACACAGAGTGCACTTTCCCAGGTCTAAAAGCTTGACAGTTGAATGCAAAGACCTTATTTACCGCATGCTGCAGCCAGACGTGGCTCAGAGGTTGCACATAGAGGAAGTTTTTTATCACAGGTGGATGCAGGCACCAAAACCCAGCGTCTCTTCAGCAACTGCATTTGTAAAAGAAGGAGAGTGTTCTCAAAAACTCAGAGAGCTGAAGTCAGAGCGCAAACCGGAAATTGAATCCAGCGGGGAAACTAAGCCTGAGAGACCAGATTTCAAAACTGAATGTAAAGCAGCACCCAGATTGGAGGTGGTACTGGAAGCAGAGGATGCCATTCCTGAAGAGCAAGCAGAAGTTAATGATCTTGCAGATCAAATGCAAAGAACAAGGATCAACTATAGTGATGATTAAAGGATAGCAAAGAGTAGTATTTTATCTAGCCCCACAAGGAGTAATTAACAAGACTATGAAGGGAAGAGTATGCAAAGGAACCAAAGCAGAAAGAAGTAAAAACAATTTTATAGATTCTTTATTGATAAAGACATAGCTAAACAATGCACCAATAGGACACAACATTCATAATAAAAGTATAAAGAAAGGAGTATTTTTTCCTTCTGATCATAACTGGCTGTAGAAGGGTGTAGAAACTGCCACAGTGTACAAATCTTTTGCTACAAATCTTCTGTCACTATGAAGCTGTTTAGAGATCTATCTATCATTTTGATGCATGGGAACTCACCAAGTTGTAACCAGTCTCTGACACTGTTCTCTGAAGCAGGGAAGCATAAAAAGCTACGTCTCCTGCCATTCGTCATATCTTTGAGCTGGTTCTCAATGCTAATTCCTTAAATCATTTGAAAATGTGCAATTGCATCTGCCAGTTCTGCCCACATGGGTGAATAAAGGCTAAACAGGACCTAGATCCACCAAAACGCAATGGCACTTTTACTGTGTTTACATGATTCCTATGCAAGCAGGAGTATAAAGACATACTTTGATACCAACTTGAGTATCTCTGTTACAGCCACATGAGCACTGCTGGATTTCATTGTTGATGGTGTCCATCAAATCAGTTCTGTTGTTCAGTTCACAGAGGGCTGGTTGGAGGTAAAACACCACCTGCATGTTCTGATAGAGGCCTGGATTTGCAAAGAAACTTCCATCTGAATAGTCATTAAAGTGCTACATAGTCCTGTATTTTGTTCCATCTGAATAGTCATTCCCTACTAAGCTTTCAAACAGCATCTTGTGCTTGCCTCTTTCCTCCTACCTCTTTCTGTACCCAGGGGCTCCCCTCTGGTGGTTTGTAATCTTAATTTAAAAAATTCAGTGTAGTTTAGGAAATAAACAAGACCAAAGTCTTCAATTTAAACAATTACATGGGAATTTCCCTTTAGGATGAAGAATCAAAGGTTGCCTGATCTATATGGACATCAGAAACAGCAGCTGCAGTCTTCCTACCCCCATTCTGTGTATTATTGACAGCCCTGACTGTTGCTCTTGAAGACACCACGTCTATAGAACCAGCCAAGGGGATTTTATTGATTGATTTTGCATAAGTCCTACATTAATTTGGTCCTGAACATCAGCCTCCTAATTGGAATTATTCTGCCAAGTTTCTTAATTCTGTGCAAAGCTGTACCCATGTGAGGCTTGTTCCATAAAATTGACCTGGTTAGCTTGCATGTAAAAATGCAGTAAGTCTCGCCTCACACATCTCATACTAATGTAATTATTTTAAATAAATGTCACAAATTGTTTCCTGGCAAAGTGGATTAATACCCTATTCCCATGTCTGGGGATCGAAGTGCTTGGCCTGATTAAGGCAAACGAAAAGAAGTCAGAGGAATTTGCTGTGGATTTAACTCTCTATCCCACTGAACCAAGGATAAATGGTCTAAGTGCTATTTCCCCTTTAAAGATTTCCAAGTACTGTATTGGGTTTTATAAACATACGCACTAGAATCCCAAGCATATATTAAAAGAGCTGATGCAGACCAAGAGTGATATCTCTGATGCAGGTGAAACTTGTACAACATATTGCTCTAGATCACTCCTTCATTGTCATAAAAAGGAGAAACTCCCTCCATGCCCTTCAAAAGAGAGTGTGGTGAGGAGAGGGACAAGGAGGAAGGCAAGGTAGCAAAACTAAAAGGCACATTAGAGATGGCAGTGATGTGCCCCCACGCTCTAGCACATAGTTCCACTACTGCTCTCTCTTCAGCCACTGTGGATCCTAGATGGATCTTTTCTATTTCTTGACATACTACGGAGGACTATGCAGGGTTAGCCAGGACCTGCATTCTGCTTTGAGCCTTGATTCTTAAATACTATCATCCCTCATGTTAGCAACTTCTTCCTCTCACAAAAGCAGCTCACACTGTGCCCAAACCCTCCCCCATCCTGTACTAATGATCAGATCCTTTCCTGCATTCCTTTGCCTTCCTAAGAAATCAAGCTGATTGCAGCCTACATATTAATTGTGACAGACCCAGACTAGCTGGCTGCCACACACTGATGGAGGAAAGATAATGGCTGGGGCTTGGGTGAACTGTTTTCTTTTCCCTGAGTAAAAGAAAGCCCTAAACCTAACTGCAGCACAATCAGGCAGGCACCTGGGTTCAGTTAAAGCCATTTTAAAGGGCTCCCCCAGGCAAGGAAGGAGGAAGTGTGGTATAGAAGAGCTATATGGGTGTGAATTGAGGACTGAAATATACTGGGAGGGATTGTCTGGGGAAGTGGCCCAGGGAAAAGCTGCCAGATTGCGAGTGGCTGGAACCCTGCCTGTTGCCACTGTCTTACGGTCCCTAGGCCAGAACTGGAGTAGTGGGCAGGCCCAGGCTCCCCCCAGCCTCCCCACATCTCCTCAACCTCTGCCTCCAGAAGAGAGATCAGGACTCCAGAGGGGATTTACCCCAATCATATGAACTAGCCTGTGATGAGCATAGATCAGTGGGATGTGGCACCCACCTCTAATAAAGAGAAAGAGGCCGTGTGGAGGGTGACAGCGAGCCTCTGAGGCTAACACTATCTGCCAGAAGTGCAAGACCCACAGGGAATAGCTGGAGTTTGCCACATAATGTAGTGCTTACATAGAGCTTTACATCCTGCGTGCTTGTGCAGACATTAATTCATTTGTACAACATCCCCGTGCAGAAGCCAAGCAAAATCGCTTCCACTCTGCAGACAGGTCATCGAAGGCACAGATACCTGAAGGTACTCACCCTGGCCACTCCACAAATCAATAACAGAGGAGCAGTCAGAAATATGGTTTGCCTGATTACAAGACACTAGCTCAAAATGCCTTCACCTCCAGGGGCAGCCTATCGTAGCTCTGATCTGGTCTATCCTGCAGTTAGCAGCTTCAGACCTGTGTCTTCACTGGCCCTCCTCACATCTCCACTGGAACACAGTTTACATCTACTCATAGCCCCTTGGCAGTCATCATTCATGGAGTCACTACTGGCACAAGGTGAGTTGATAACTCCCAGTCTCCATTTCAGGTCCTCTGACATCACAGCAGCCACCATGGGGCTTTGCCTGCTCCATTTTGCAACAAACTGTGAACACTACCTGCCCAATGTCTATACGCTCCAAACACTGCCCCTTTATACATCTCCCTTCCCTA